GGCAGGAGGCTGGGCTCCTCCAACTGGGGAGATCTGTCTACCACGCAGGCGGTGGCTGAGCCCCTCCTCCACTTGGGGTGGTCTGTCTACCGCCAGTGCTATGTACTTATACATAATGTAAAAAGCAACACTGAGTGGTAACAATTGTTTTTAGCTGTGTTATACTCTTATGGAACCACTACTATAAATGTTCTTCATCCCTGAATTACCTTATTCAGAGATTACTGTTTGACACAACTTCCATTTCATCTGCCCCATGCCATTTGGAGATGAAGAAGCAGGAAGGTCCTTTTACTTGTCTTCAGAATCTTGAAATAGCTTGCATCCAGAGGATCCAGACCAACATGGCCCTAGGGAAGCTAGTAGCTGAGATCAAAGTGGGAATGCCCAAGCTGAAGATGTGCCGCTACATGCTGAGGTTCTATGTGAATATGGCTCTGGATACTGAAACACAACCAATGAATTCTTTATAATCTCTAATGACCTGCACAGTTATATTCTCACCTCCACAAGAGACACCAGAGAATGCTGAGATATTTATTACCTTAGGGTCTCTTACTTCACATGTGGATGGCACAATTGAAAGATGAAAGGGGAAGGAAAATCATATTAGTCCCTGTATATTTTCAGGGAATTTACAAGTCATGAAGAACCCTTCCTAGTCTCTTCAAACCTGTGGGTCTGGTTTCTGAGCCTCAATTAAGTAAATGAATTTTCTAGCTAGTATAGGAACCTGAATTGTGCTGCCTATAAACCTAAACATGCACAAGGTCAGGATTTTTCCAGAATGTGACCTGAAAACATGTAATTTCTCAACAACTCTGATGGTTACCATGTATACACCTTCACAATGAGACTACCTCAGAACTTCTGTACCCACTCTTCTGACCTGGAATACCAACGGAGGGCGACATCATATAAGCCAGGTAGTTACAGGCGGTACAGTTTATGATGTCTACCCAGAAAGAAGAGCTTATGAGATAAAACTGCTGAGACATATACTCTCCAAGTATTCTGACATAACCAGGAGTATATAGGTTAAGGAAATATCCATTTGTTTATTTAAGTGGAAGTTCTATCTAAGATTAGAATTGCAATAATAAATAATTGTTTTTAAGACCTGACTTAATTCTGAACACTACCTTTGCCTGGAGGAAGTTGAGCCACTCAAGAGGCCCACAGTGTAAGGTGTTTTCTTCCTTCCTCTTGAATGTTTCCCAGGGGCCACCTATGAGTTGTTGCTTCAGGATACACCCAAGAACTTGTTCCTGGAGTGCCTGGATTGGGTATTCATGAGCTCAACCCCTGAGGACTGGGGAAGAACGTTTTCTTGTGCATATGCCCCAGGGATAGGAGAATCATGAGGTTGGAGATACTCAAAGAGATAGTGTTTCTAAGGATTAATTCAGGAGATGGAAGGAGAGTCAGGACTGCCCTTGCATGGACTGGAAGTTGACTCAAAAGGCACAGTGAAGTACTTTTTCAGCCCCCACCAAAATTACATAAAATTTAAATAAACCTACGTTGACCTGGGAACTGAAGATGATTTTTAATGACTCTATAAAACTATAGCAAAATAGTAGATTATTTGATAGATGGTATTTGGAACACTGATTGTTCTTATAAAACTAAGAACATAAATAAAACCTGAACATAACATTTTGCTATACACAAAATCAATACCTGAAAGTAAATATAAAACAGATATAAGAGATAATTTTGTACCCAGTATCTAAAAAAAAGACTTCTTCTAGAAGAAATCCCAAAATACAAACAATAAAGTAAATAAATTATGTAATTAATTCTATGAAAATTAGCCATAAAACCTGGGCACAGTGGTGCATGCCTCTAGCCCCAGCACTAAGGAGACTGAGGCAAGAGGATTACTTGACAGCAGAATTAGCAGCCAGCCTCGACCAGAAAATGAGACTCTGCCTCAAAATAATAATAACAACAACAACAACAACAACAACAACATTTAAAACTTTCTGGGGCACTTAGAGAAAAATATTTGTGATGTTTATATGCAAACAGAAATTTGTCTTAGGAGACACAAACTCAAATTTAACAGAGCTAGAAAGCCGATACAAAAACTGACAAAGGATTAAAAAATAAGAAATTCAGAAAGAAGCCCAAATGGCCAACATGTAGACAGAAATTCAACCCACCAGTAATCAGAGATAGGCAAAAAAACGAACAAGTGAAAACTATCACTTATATCCATAGGGTGACACATTTTATAAAGACATAATTTTAAACTGGAAGAGGGAATAAGAATCAGGAACATTTAGCTCTGGTGTAAGCAGAGCCTCTGCTTCTGTTCTATAAGTGATCTTGTGAAATTTAGATCCATTAACCCAATCAACAAATCAAAGTGACCTGAACAGACACTTCTCAGAAGAGGATATTCAATCAATCAACAAGTACATGAAAAACTGCTCACCATCTCTAGCAATCAGAGAAATGCAAATTAAAACTACTCTAAGATACCATCTCACTCCAGTAAGAATGGCAGCCATTATGAAGTCAAACAACAACAAGTGCTGGCGAGGATGTGGGGAAACAGGCACACTCATACACTGCTGGTGGGACTGCAAATTGGTGCAGCCAATTTGGAAAGCAGTATGGAGATTTCTTGGAAAGCTGGGAATGGAACCACCATTTGACCCAGCTACTCTTCTCGGTCTATACCCCAAAGACCTAAAAACAGCATACTACAGGGACACAGCCACATCAATGTTTATAGCAGCACAATTCACAATAGCTAGACTGTGGAACCAACCTAGATGCCCTTCAATGGATGAATGGATAAAAAAAATGTGGCACATATACACAATGGAATATTACTCAGCACTAAAAAATAACAAGATCATGGCATTTTCAGGGAAATGGATGGCATTAGAGTAGATTATGCTAAGTGAAGTTAGCCAATCCCTAAAAAACAAATGCCGAATGTCTTATAAGGGGGGTGACTCAAAATGGGGTAGGGAAGAAGAGCATGAGAAGAAGATTATCACTAAATAGGAAAGAGAGGTGGGAGGGAAAAGGAGGGAGAAGGGGAATTGCACGGACGATGGAAGAAGACCCTCATCGTTATACAGAATACATGTATGACGAAGTGAGGAAAAAGAAAAAAAAAATTGTGTCACATTAGATTGGGTAGAGAGAAGTGATGGGAGGGAAGGGGAGGGGAAGGGGGCAATGGAAGGACAGCAGAATAAAATAGACATTATTATTGCTGTGGGTATATACATGACTTCATGACCAATGTGATTCTGCAACCTGTACACTCAGAAAAATGAGAAATCATACCCCATCTGATTCAAATGTATGATATGTCAAGTTCATTGTGCTGTCATATGTAACTAATTAAAACAAATTTTAAAAAAGAAACTTAAAAAAGAAGAAAATAAAAAGAAAATTCCCAGTTTTTTAAAAAAAGAAATTTAGATCCATCATTGGTCACACTAGCTACATTTTAGGTAAATGCACATGTGGCTACCACGATGGACAGCGCAGACTGTGGACTATATCATCATAGAAAATTCTATCAGGCAGCACTGATCTAAAAAGGGTAGCTCTTTTTTTATATTTTATTTATTTTTTAGGTGTAGATGGACACACCACAATGCCTTTATTTTTATGTGGTGCTGAAGATGGATCCCGGGTCCCGCCCGTGCTAGGTGAGCCCTCTACCACTGAGCCACAATCCCAGCCCAAGGGTGGCTCTTTATTGTACACTCCTTCAGTATTTTGTATTTTTCATACACAGGATTGACCAAAGTTAATAATGAATTAATGGCTAAATTATAGGCTTCATGAACACTTTGTCTACTATTGTATGCATACTACAGGACTGACAAGTACATCACAAGTAATGGACATTAAATAGGCACTTGTCAAAATAAAAAAAATATTACAATTGTCTCTCTTGAAATTTGGGGTTTGGAATACAGACATGGATTTAGAGAGGAACAAATGCTTTTGCACTCAAGTTTTAAAATATTTTTTGCTCTTTTTCTCAGGAGAGCATTTCATTGTCTTTCCTGAAATGAAGAGGACAACAGTATCCAGTGAGAATTTGGGAACCTAGAACTTTGATATGAGAAATGGATTATGTTCAAATATCAAATATGATTGAATTTTTTTGAAATATTTTTTTCATTTTGTTCTTCCTACCCATGTCAATATAAACATTGGGGTGTTCACTATAACCCAAAAGACTTACTTTTAGCAAGAGAGAAACATTTCAGTACTTTTGATTCAAGATTAAATTTTTATTTTGCGTTATGAGGGAGATATGTGAAAATGTGCAATTTATTTCACAAGTTATGCACTACATACTTTAAAAAGAATAGTAGAGAAAGAATGATCAAAAGAGCTCTTTAACGAATAACAGTTAGATTAAAATAATCAATTAATATTGCAGCCATCAGGTCTAGCAATGGATTATATGCAAAGTTTGGTAACAGTAGAAATATTGGCATTTGGTAGTCTTCGTGGAGTTTAGAAAAGTGAACAGTGTGTAATATTGTTGCCCTAGCTGTTCACAGCAGTGCTTTGGTCACATCTGTATTCACTGGGATTTAGCTTTAATTAATACATCTACATCAGCTTTGTCTCCCTCCCCAAGACTTTTTGGGTGGTGATCAACAAGGATATTTTCCTCCTTTGGGGGGGATCTCTGGGAACCACCTTCTCCAGCACCTAGTGGAGCTCCAAGGCTAGGAAATCTGTGCACATCCTGCAGTTTCTTTCGCAGCCATTCTATCCTCTCCAGGGAGGCCAAGTATTTCCCCAGGTTGTGCATAAATTGTATTTCACTCACAGCTCTCTTCCTGGAAGAACAGAAATAGAGAGGACCACTCCATTAGCTTCCCACTTATTCCATGCCTTCATCATGCAAAAGAGGTTGTAGTACTTACTTAATAGCTTTCCCATCCGTTCTTGTAAGAAAAACAATTGCAAGTATGACGATCATCACTTTTGCCATGTCTTTTGCAGACATCATCTTTACTAAAAGGAAAAGCAAAACTGAGTTATTTAAAAATATTCTAGTGTTCCAAACCATATAATAATATTGATAGTAGTTTCCAATTATAACCATCTAATCAATCACAGAGTGTATAGTAATTAATTGGGTTGGTTTTTAGGAGAAGCTTTTGGAATCAGCCTCTTTATATAGGGAATACTTTAGTAACATCAGATATACACACACATACTCTGAGAAATTAGACTAATTTTCTTAAGTATTTTTTTTGAGATTGCTTGTGCAGGTTTAAATATATGAATTTTAAGCCACATGATGAATAGAAGAGTTTTGTTTTAAGGATTCCCACACATTTTATGTTGGCTATGCATAAATGCTTGAACAGGCTTGAAATTGCCTAGTCTTAAAATTAGGTAAATTGTTATCAATATTTACTTAGCAAATGTCATTTTCGTGATTAAACTTCATTTCAGGCACTGGCATAACAACCATAAATGCCAAATAGTAAAGTCTTATTTTGAGGGTCTTACTGAATGAATGCACACTTCTGGCATTAAAAAGTACATATTAAAGCACTTAAAAATCACAATATTACTTATATGTGCATTTTGAGCTCTGACTCTTAATAAAATGCTTATCTACATCTTATTTCTTCTACCTACTTCACTAACAAGTATGTTTGAGTATAACTTTTAGCTCTTTCCTCATTTAATCATAAAAATTTTCATATTAATGAAAAAGATTTTTGCCTTAATCTGCATTTCAATATTTGCAAAGGCATATTTACCAGTGATTTTTTCTAAATGTTCACTGTTCTGTCTTTTAACAGACATGTTCAATGGCTATATACTTCTTTTTTTTTTTTTTTCAGTGTTGGGGATGGAACCCAAGGCCTTGCTATGTAAGCACTCTTCCAGTGAGCTGCATCCCCACCCCATAGGTACTCCTATTTTAAAGGTAGCATAAGAAAAAATATAACCATCAACATATCTATGCATGGAGCAACAAAAGACCATCTCTTTTTTGGGTTATGTTGGAAATATTCATTGCAAGTAGAGGATGAGTGGATCAAGTGTCTAATCCTAGCTTTGTTCCACTTCACCTAGTGACCTATAAATCTCTGCTTTGTTTCCTTGTTCTTAAGAGGGAAATAGACTTCTTATAGAAATACCATTAATAAAAGCTTTAAATGATGTTAAATATCTTTAAAATTCTTGTACTATTTAAAGTCCAGAAAAGTTTAAAAAGTTGTCATTTATATAAAAGGAAAAAAACATTCAGCCATTAATGGTAGTTTTTTCAATCTGAGCTCTCTCAAAGTCATAAAATAAGCCATCTAGGTAAGGGTAGTCTGAAAGAAAAGTGAAATTTTACTCCACTTAACAAATATTCCTTTTTTAAAAAAATTTTAGTTGTAGATGGATACAATACGTTTATTTTATTTATCTTTGTGTGCTGCTGAGGATCGAACCCAGTGTCTCATGCATGCTAGGCAGGTGCACTACCACTGAGCTATAGCCCCAGCCCTTCCACTTAACAAAAATATATTATTTACATCTGAACTATTCATTCACTATCAGCCTGTTTATTTCAAAATTTTTATAGACTACTAAAGCATATAATGCAGAATATTCATTAATTTTCTATAATTTAAGAAGTTTTTAAAAAAGTTATCCCAAAAGGCTTTCATCACAAAAATAAATGACTTATATGCTTAGCATAAATTTATTCTATTGTTATATTTAATATTTAACGTAATTTAACCTCTTTAAAATTTAATCATGAACAAATAGCATATTTGTAGAAAACATGATTATCAAAAGTGTCATGTAATTTAAAGTGACAATTAAAAGAGGACTTACCAGACAACTTTAGAGAAGCCCTTCCTTCAGGTGAAATAGCAGCTGATGCTGTATTGATGTTCAGTGAACTTGAGGAAGCTGATGAAATGGGCTGCAGATCCTCAAGTGTGACTTTCATATATGGTTCTTCTGCTCACCAAGAAGAGCTTATTTATTGTTGCAGATGATGTCACTCTCAATTCTCGGGATCTCAACTTTAGTCCAAACAGCCACACACCCCCATTGGGTGGTGCCCAGTCCTCTTAAGTTTTTGATAATTGGATAATAGAACAAAAACAACAGCGTGCTAGGGAAAAGGGCTTATGCAAACTGTTCTGACAAATGTTGAGTTGTACCACCTAGAAAAATTCTGGCTCAATTGATGATATTGAGTTTATACTTTACAAAAATTCTCATTCTGAAGATTTATGACAAAGTTATCTTACTTATGAATAAAATTTGAAGTATAACCACATTATCAGTACAATTGTTATGATAATTAATCATATATGTTATGCTTATTTACAAGTCCTTTTCAACCACTCCATATTACCTTGATTATTTTCCCCCCAAAATTATAATGCTTTTCTTAAAGGAAATGTTAAAAATGTTTGAAATGGCTTTTTATGCATAATTTTAAAAGCTTCAAAAATAAATAATTCTAAAATTCATTTTATTCATGCATGTTAAGGTGTAGTAATAACTTTTGATAAGCACTATGTTCCCTTCTTTACATACATTATCCTACTAAATCTTTACAGCAGTCCTTAAGTGTGTTGCATTATCCCCATTTTCACACTAGGAAACTCAGGCTTGGAAAGCAAAGTTGATGGAGTTCAATATCAGCAAGTACCAGGGATTGAACCAAGGGGTGTTTAACCACTGAACCACATCCCCAGCCACCCCCCCCCTTTTTTTTTTTTAAAGATTCCAGCCCTTTTTATATTTTATCCTGAGACAGGGTCTCACTAGGTTACTTAGGCCTCACTAAATTGCTGAGGCTGGCTTTGAACTTGTAATCCTGCCTTAGCCTCCTGAGCCACTCTGAGCCATACAGGAGTTTGCCACCATGCCCGAAGAAAGAACAAAGGTCTTTATTACTCCAGAGTCACTTTGATTCTGATAGTACCTCAATTTTTCCTTTAAAATGTAGCCCTTCTTTGAACTTTATTCTCTTTTACTTTAATTGCCTAGCATTTTGCAACTTCTTTCTCTAGGGGTTGGGTTCCGATCTCGTGTCCCTCAAACTAATGATTGAGAGTCTCCTCCAAAACCAAATGGAAATATGATTCTACTATTTGTCTAATTTCAAATACTGCTATAGTCTGCTCATCACCATCAAAGCCCTTTAAATGTCTCTATTAGGGACATTTTTTAAAACGCTTAAGAAAAGTACTATAACATAGCTAGGCTCCTTTAGGCAGCTCTCCTCTCAACTAAAGAGCCATTTTCAGTGTTGGATCAGTTCTCTTAGTTCTGGTTGCACCCAAGCTTTATGTCACTTTTTTTTTTCTGCTAAGCATTGCCAAGGTATGACTCTACCTCAAGTAAAAGTCCAAGTTTCAGCAGTAACTGTATGGAGTCTAAAATGAAAGATATATGTTAGTTCTATTCTGCTTAAATCTCACTTGGAGTGAGCTCCAGTCTCCATTTTAGAAGTGTTTAAGACAAACTGGAATATATTCTAAGGATATAAATTAGTTTGGTGAAAATATGGCATATGAGAAGTACTGGAATGAAACTGGAAAGGCCTGAAAAAAAAGACTGGGAATGATTGTATAACTGCATTTCATTATTGATAGGGTTGCCTAAGCATAAGGAGTACTCTCTGTGGTTTAAGAAAGAAGTAAAGCTGGGCAGGTGGTGCACATTTGTAATCCCAACTACTTGAGAGGCTAAGACAAGAGCCTCAGCAACTTATGGAGACCCTGTCTCAAAATAAAATAAATAAATAAATGAAAGGGATGGAGATGTGGCTCTGTGGTAGATCAATCCTAGGTTCAGTCAAGAGGAAGACATGGAAGAGGAAGAGGAGGACAAGGATGCAGATGAGAAAGGGAAAGGGAAGAAGAATAAAACTGGGTCAATGGCTGAAGATTACATGGAAGCAGATTTGAACATTAAAATTGTCAAATTATGGCTGGGGTTGTAGCTCAGTGGTAAAGCACTAGACTAGCATGTGTGATGCACTGGATTCAATCCTTAGCACCACATAAAAATAAAGGTATTATGTTCATCTTCAACTAAAACAAAATTTAAAAAAAATAAAATAGTCAAATTAAGGAATCAAACACCATCTTAAATAATGAGTTCCTCATCCCTGAAAGTGTTCAAGTAAAAAGGTAGATTAGTAATTATCAGGGATATCATAGAGACTCATACAGTATATACAGTGTTGAAATAGATAATCAAGAAATCCCTTTCAACTGTAAAAATCTATTGTTTCGATTTTTTTTTTCTTCTTTTTCTCCTGTCCTGGAGAACAAACCCAGAACCTTGTGTATGCTAGGCAAGCATTCTATCATTACACCCCATTATTGTTTTGATCTTTTGAAAGACTTCTTCTGGTGCAAAGTCTACACATGATATCTGTGTGGTATTTTTCTGTTATTTTATGTTGAGGGAAAAGAGAATTAGAAATGCAAATGATTTTATAAACATATTTCCATTGTTATTGTAAAGCTATGATTAGCATTCTGATTTTGATATTTTTTCCCACCTTTTTGGATAAGTTTGACTTAATCTATAGCCTCTAAGAATGTTGCAATTAGTGCGTTCATTCTCTTCCTCCTGTTACACTTATTATAGAGCAAATTGTCACACTGAAAGCAATGATATTATTTAGCTAGTTTTGCAGAAAAGTAAAGCAACTTAGACAGTGATGGTTTGTTCATTCATTCGTTCATCCATGCAAAAACAGCATAGAATATATACTTTCTGCCAGGGGCTGTCTTAATTACTGGATGATTGAGACAGGATCGCTGCCCTCAGATTCAACACATGACTACAACCTAATGTGACAAGTGTTCTAATGGAGATATGAACAAAGGCTTATAAAAGCACAGAGAAGGGAATGACCAAACTGCCCTGGAGTTATTGGAAGTTTTTTTTTTTTTAATTGAGAAGCTGCAGTATTCTCAAGGGTGATAATAGATTTTCCATTAAAGAAAATGAGAAGGGACAGAGGGAA